TGACTCAAGGCCTGCCCTTGGCAAAAAGTGGGAGATTCTCAAAAAAAAAAAAACCTAAAGCAAAGCAAAACAAACAAAAAAGGAGGGGAAGGGCAGAGAGGTGATATAGCTCCCAAGTGATAGAATGCCTGCCTAGTGTAAGGTCTTGAGTTCAAACCCTAATACTATTTTAAAAAAAGAAAAAGAAAAATGTGAATTTTCAATTGTGAAAACATTCAGGAAAACAAAAGTCCTGTAAAAGAATTTATGAAAGTCAAATTTTACCAAATTTTAAGTAACAGGTACTTGATTAATATAAAGAAGGATTAAGGACAAAAGAAAAAAACACTTTTAAGAATTTTTCACAAAGTATGCTTTCCATTACAGGAAGAAAAATGGGTTCTATTTGAAAAATGCTGAGGAAAGAGCTTTTTTTTTTTAACTGCACCACATTCCATTTGATAATGAATAGACTAGCTTCACCAAAGAACACTACACAAAGCATCTAGGTTAAAGCTCCTTCTCACAGAGTTTATAGGATTAGTGGTCTACAGAACATACTAAATCCATCACACACCCATAGAAAGTGGAAGGTAAGATACAAACTACTGAAAGCATTCATAAATTACCGGGAGCAGGAAGCTTATCTGATAACTGATGTAAATTTTCTGCAGATTCTTCATATAGTCTAAAATAAAAGGAAATACGTAGAGAAAAAGAAATCAATACATATACATATCTTCACAATAGGTAATAATAATGTTCTATGTACCAGACAATGTTAAGTATGTTAGCTTCACCATTTTTTTTGACTGACCCTGATGACAAAGCCATGTGGTTATTAATAGAAGGCTACTATATCTCATTTTAAATAACTTGCTTAAACTCATATAACTATGCTATGTGGAAGATAGGATTTGAATTCTGGGATAAGTTCTTACCTTCATACACAAAAAACAAATGTAATAAACAACAAAGGAAATAAAAAATCCTAAATTATACTTAGCATATTATATATGAATGATACACCAAACATTTTCATTCTGAACCATCAAAGTAAGATACCTCTAACTATTTAGGAAAAGACAGTATGTGTCTCTGAATCACATTTCATAGTCCTTACTAAGATTATGATGTACTTTTTAGATTCTTTAAAGCCTGTCAGTTTTATCCACAGGGATGACATTTTTTTTCTCAAAAAAATAAAAAATGCCATATAGCATAAAGGTATTTAACCCAATTTTGCCTTTAAAAAAAACTGAAACCATGTTATTAAATTCTAGTTTTCAGGCTCCCTCTTGTGGAGATAATTATTAGTTCACTTACTGACTTTGGCATTTGTTATCTTTTAACAGTGATAGGAAAGCATGAATTAATAGGAGCTCTTGCTGGGCACAGGTAACTTGTGCCTGTAATTCTAGCTACAAAGATCAAATCAAGGCAACTTAGGAGAGGGCCTTATCACTTGAGGGATGTGAAAATAAAGAACTAGAGAAGTTAATTGCCTAGCCTAAGATCATGGAAATGATGACTATGGTTCCAACATCTGGCCCAGTGTTCTTTCCCTGGTTCTAATATTTCTTCCTTCATTATACAATATAAACATATGATCTAGATATGAGAAAAGAAAATCTTTAAAGCCTGTGACCTTACAGGTATTTTACAATATATGCATACTAAAAGCAAAGGCAGTTTTTTGTCACACTGTATTAAGAAGACTAAAACAAACTCAAAGTACTTGAAGAACTCAAAGTGGTCAGAGACAGGAGTATTTTATAGAGAAAAGAATAATTACAACTTATCACCTGGATCGTCATCTGTATAGCACAATTCAAAAATCCTAAAAGTTAACCCTAAACTGTTTATATGCCTCAAAAACTCGCTGTGTGAGTTTTAGACAGTGATTGGAACACTGAAGATACATAACAATTGAAAAACAACACACATACGTAAGAACTGAAAAAAAAACAGTATTTCAGTCTTGTATAGCAAAATGAAAATATGTTTAAGAACATTATCTGTTAACATTAAGATTTTCTAGTCAAGCTCTTAAAATACAATAACTGAGAATTTATCTTCAAGACAGTGAAGTCTATAAAATTTTCTCTGTGTAATTCTTACTATTACGCAAGCCTAAAGGACAGAATATTTTCAATGATCAATTTCTGCAATTTAAGGAACTTTATCAGATATGTCTTCCAAAATGAAAAGTTAAAAACTTTCAGCTCATTAAGAAAATTCCCTTACTATAGTTGCTAAAATATTGAGCTTAAAATAATTGTCCAATGTTAAATACCTAAAGAAAGAGTTGCTAAAATATTAGGCTTAAAATAACTGTCCAAAATTAGACAAGCATACTCAGCCAAGGATATGGATTCTCTGCTACTACTATCTTCTTCTTCAAAGCATTCAACAGCACTCAAACATTCTTCGATGTTTGTTTGAAGAACTTCTTCAATAGTATCTTTTTCTGCATCAAAATGGATCTCCTCCCAATCAGAACTACAAAACTAACACATCAAAAGATGACTTTTAAAAATGGGTTTGCGTTATTCTATAAAGTAGAAAATGTATTGATTAGTAACCATTACCTGATACAATCCACATATGGCCTGCACTGCAAAGAACCACTTCCTGGCACTGGGTACACCACCGACTGAACAGGCTTGAAGATAAAATCAGAAAGAAGAAAGTTCTTGAATCAGCAGGTGTCATAGACATTTGAGAGTTATGTGACTTTGAAATATATTCTATAGTTCTGTAATCCATATGTATGTGTATGTACCTTAATAAAATCTTTCCTAAAAATTCAAACAGAACAATCTGCCTAAAGATCATAATTGTAACCAACACTTAGGTGATAACACTTAAGTGTCTTATGTGGTAAGAACTTACTAAAAGTACTTCCAGATCTTCACAGACAGGCTAGAGCAGCATATACACACACAGTACAAATCATTTACCAATGGTGATCACTGACTGAGCAACAAAACGTTTGTTAATGAAAGAAAAGAGGAGGCAGTTACACAGTCACAAGAAATACAAAGTTATCCAAATGATCAGGCTCTCCTGGCATATACAGACATTTCCTTCAGCTTTAGGTTTGATCTGTTTTGACATTTCTATTTCTGAGCAGTTAAGGGACATGTTCAGATAGAAACCATGAAAAAAAGCAAAAGGGAAAGTAACTATCAAATAATTAGATGAAGTCATAAAATGACAATAGAAGTTTCACTAGAAATGTTACTTAATGTTAACAGATAACTATTACAAAGTGAAATGCTTCAAAAAGTCAAAACAGATGAGCAACAAGTCTGCTGTGTTTAACAATTACAAAGGTTTTTTTTTTTTAATTTTAAGAGAATCAGTGAGAGGACAAAAACACGAGGGGAAGGAGGTCAGTCAGTACAGTAGTGTTCATGTGTTCATGTGTACATGTATTTCTTATACTCATCAGTGATCAAATTAATTAATGTCCAATTCAAATGCCATGCTATAGAAGCCCTTACATGATACTTACCAGGAAAAGTACTGTCATCTGGATTAATGGAAGCACTGATGCTTCTTTTCAGGAGATGATAAATACTTGCTGCAGTAAAGTCTGGAAAGTGAAGGCAGTCTAACTCAATAGGTTGTAAGAGTTACATAATCTAAGCCTGTTCCAGTTTCACCATCTTAGATTCTTAAGACCACCATGTATTGGAGCACTATTGGAGCATTTATATAATAAATCATAGCAAACCTAGACTTTTTTTCTGATTCACTTTCTCATATCAAAATTTCCTGATTTGTATGTTATCCAATTAGCAGACATGAAAATTCCCACCCACCCCCCCAAAAAAAAAACCAAGGAAACTTTCAACCACATACATTTCCTCCCCCAAGTGCTTGCTTGATCAAAATAAGATAAAAGGCAAAACAGTCTAGCTCCTGAAAGAAGCTCAATATCCATTAAAATCTTTTAAATGTATTTTTTAACTTAGATGACTCTTATGAAAATGTAAAGTCTTGGCCAGCAAGGCACTTATGTATTTTGCTCCTTTCTGTATTATCTGCCTTTGGAACTCAGGAAACATAAATATTAAATTTACGCCCGGCACACAGCTCATGCCTATAAACCTGGTTACCGGGGAGAGCCTAGTTACTCGGGAGGCTGAGATCTGAGGATCACAGTTCCATGTCAACCTGGGCAGGGCAGTCCAGGAGACCCTCCACTCCAATTAACCACCAAAAAGGAAACAAAAGCCGAAGTGTAGCGCAAGTGGTAGTTGACGTGGTAGAGCGCTAGCCTTGATCCAAAAAGCTCAACGCCAGAGCCTAGACCCCGAGTTCAAGCCCCAGGACCAGCAATTCCGTGTAAGAAGGCACAGGAGAGTCAAAGTTAATTTTTTTAAGGTCGATACCAGCTTTGGGGATCTCTTATCCACACATCCGGGGCCATTTTCCCGCGGGGACTGTTTCTCAGCTCCTAGGAGGTGTCCCCCCAAAGAGCGTCACGGCGGCCTGAGCCCTCGGACCCGCAGCCGCCTCCAGGGACCCGGCCCCGGACCCCAGCAGTTCCCGCCTTTTCTCGTTCCCAGCCCCGCACTGACCTGGCGGCTTCTCGAGTCCCTCCCCCGAAGGCTCCTCCGGTGCCCGCTCGGTCGGCCCAGAGGCGGCCGAGGGAAGCTTTCCCTCCCCCCAGATGACCAGCAGCAGGTACCGATCCATCTTCCCCGCGGCGCTCAAAAACAGCCGCGCTCCGCCACTTCCGGTCTCCTTCCGCCTAGAGCCTCTGGAAATGGTTCCCCCTCCCCCAGCTCCAGGCCGGTTTCCCACGAACTTTCCGGGCTTACACGAGAGGATGATTCTCTGCCTAACTACAGTCTTTTTCCCCCTCCCACGATGACATTGCTAACCGAACCGCAGAAAGACGCTAAGGGAGCTCAGGAAAGGAGGCGAATCGGCGAGAACGTGACACACTAGGAACTGTTGTGTTCCGCCTAGGCGTTTCCTGTCCGGCCTCCGAAATGGGTGGCGCATGGCTGGACTTCCGGAAACACACGGTCCTGTCCTGCGGGCGGCGAGACCGACATGTCGAGTTTCTCCAGGGCGCACCAGGTGAGCTCGGGCTCTCGTGGCTTGGTCGTTTCACTGACGGCAGGCGGGCGCCTTGCTGGCGGCTCCGCCGAGCCCGCGGGGAAGCGGGCAGCGTACAGGTGACCGCCAGCAAACGGTGGCCTAGGGGTGCCTCCCCTCCCCTCTCCCCTCCCCTCTCCCCTCCCCTCTCCCCTCCCCTCTCCCCTCCCCTCTCCCCTCCCCTCTCCCCTCCCCTCTCCCCTCCCCTCTCCCCTCCCCTCTCCCCTCCCCTCTCCCCTCCCCTCTCCCCTATTCCACTCCTCTCCCCTCCCCTCTCCCCTTTTCCCCTCCTCTCCCCTCCCCTCTCCCCTCCTCTCTTCCCTCCCCTCTCCTCTCCCCACTCCTCTCCTCTCCCCTCTCCTCTTCTCTCCCCTCTCCTCTCCCCTTTCCTCTCCCCTCCCCTTCCCTCCCCGCTCCCCTTCTCTCCCCTCCCTTCCTCTCTCCCCTCCCCTCCCCTCCCCTCTCCCCCTCTCCCCTTTCCTCTCTCTCCCCCCCTCTCTTGGAACGTGTCTCCGCTCTTTTCATTCAGTTCTTTTCACAGTGGTTCCCCCTGGGAAAGAGTATTAGGAGAGAAGGTGGAAAAACCAAAGCGAATCGCTTTGGACGTTGAAAACAACTATTGGAAGAATAGGGGATTTTTTTTTCCTTAGTAAAATAGGGGGCAGAGGTCGGGGGGGGGGGGGGTGTTGACATGCGAAGGAACCCGTCCGAAGGGCAGTAACCCGGGAGTGTTGCAAAGTGATCCGGTATTTTTGAGGCGGAAACCAGTAGGCTGCCTTAACGGGCTTAGTGTTGATCTACATAAAAGAAGACACACGGGTTTGCTTTAGGTTGTGTTTTTGTTTTAATTTGGACTGATGGGAGAGCATATTATAGGGGTGAAGCAGGTTTCTAGAGGAAGAGTAGGAGTGCGTTTTGGATTTGTTTGCCCAAAATGACTTGGCCCAGTGCCACTTCAAGGATACTTCCCTCAAGTTTGTTTGTTCTACATGTGACAAGGGAAATACAGAAAGTGAGATCAGACATTTTTTTTTGTAGTAGTAATGTTCTAGTAATTTGACATTGTGGCAGCTCATTGTATTTTTATGGAAGTATTTTTTTCAACAAAAGTATCAAAGTGAGTAGTAAATTAGATGAGTGAAACTTACTTTTTGCTTATGTGTGAAGCTTGTAATAAATAAAACCATTATTTCACGTCTTGTGGAGCTACTTAATAAAAGTGTCCAGTCTAGATCTTGCTAGGGTTGGTATTTTTTAGAGTTCAGATAAATATGTTCTATATTTGAAGCAACCTAAAGATAGTTTCATAAGAGGTAATTTAAAATTTAAATATGGTCAACTTCAGACTAACTCCTGCTTGCATGAGTTTATGTAACTCTCCCCCTAGAACTCAGTTCCTGAATTGTCTTCAGGAACACTCCAGAATAATGGTCCTATCGTCAGTATAACAGACTTACCAAAAGAAAACAGCCTCCATTTACAAAAAAAAATAGAAATACTCACAAAAAATTTTAATGATAGTCTCTTTTTCAGAGTAACTATTAAAATTAAGTGTACAGATGATGGGCTACAATAATACATTTAAATATTTCAATTTTATTCATTTTGTTTTTTGTTTTCCAGCAATGGGCCACTTTTGCTCGAATATGGTATCTTTTAGATGGGAAAATGCAGCCTCCTGGCAAACTGGCTGCTGTAGCATCTGTAAAACTTCAGGGATTACATAAACCTATGTACCATCAACTGAGTGAGTACCATTTTACACCTGTCATTAGCATGCATAGTTTTTCAGCCCAAGATGGAATTTTTTTATTGCTTTATTAGGTTTTATTATGACATTTTCCTACATGTAGAAATTAACAATAGCAAATCAAACATGCTCTTGTTTTACATATCGGTTCACATAATGGCATGCATGTAACTAGAGAGCCTTTGAAAATAAGAAAAGTAATCATGCTATTTCTAACAATCCTTTCCCAGAACTCTATAGAAAGCTACCTAGGTATGAAAGGTTACATTTCACTGTTTCAGATGAACAGATTTGCCTTTTTTGTATGCTTTTTCTAAAACAGAAGAGTTTGTTTTCATTCTAGAAGAGTAGGGGGGTTCGACTTGACTTTGGATAGTAAGGTACTTCATTACCAGGTCCATAGGTCAGTTCTCAATCCTCACCTCCTTTTTCCTATCAATAGCATTTGCTACAACTGATTGTGTTTTTGCCTTCCTTTTTAGTTAGAGGTGTACTAAGCATATAAAAGTATGCATGTGTCTGTGAATAGAGTTACTAGTAGCTAATGATAATGATTAATAATGATTAATAAAGGTGATTAATACATATGACATTTGGTTGTTTATCCTTGCCTCCCCCCCATTACAAATTACCAATATTCTTGTACCTTTCTCTCAGTACACACCTCAAAAAGGTTTTCCAAAATGCAGACATGGCACAATAATCAGTGGTACATGAGAAGCTATTCAGTCTTTAAATTCATCTTCTCCCACCAACAGCATATTAAAAGTAACACTAGATGTTCCTCCTCAGTAACACTAGATGTTGTCATACTTGAGTTTGTTTGTTTAGTCCACTAGATGTCAAACTAGTTCTTCTAAGCTGTTCCTCCACTTAATGAGTGTTTCAATAACATTAAGCCAGTACACTAGAATATCTCTATAGATTACAAATCCAAAGGTTTTGTTAAATCAAGCTTTGTCTTTCAAGTATTTACTACAATAATACAGGCTTCTGAGAAATAGTTTGTGCCATGACTCTATCAAACGGATGTTTAATAAGTATAGCCAGCTCTTGTTATTCCTGAGAGTCATGTTCTATAAGGTCATCATGAACACTGAATTAGTGAACACTGAACCATTGCTTCTAGGAGAAATTCGGGAATAAATTCCTTTAAGCCTCTAGTCGCTATATTTTTATCAGTCAGTCAGTAGCCATATAGTTATCAGTAGAAGCAGAAGGCTTTGGGTAGTTAGGAAGAGCGTATATGTCTGTTATCTACCAGATGATTTTGAAGACCCACACCCATTGCAAACAATGATTTCACTAACAAATACATAATTTTGGAAATACAACACTGAATAGACCAAAAGTGGCACTTGGTGGTAGTGTGAAAGGTGTAGCAAGAAGGTAGAGCATCACAGTCCACTTGAGGATGATTGAGTCACACTGGCTGCTTTTCCTCAGGAATAGTATCAGCAAGTAGTAAGAAAGGTATTTCTCTAGTTTGTCTTCATAGGAACACTAATACAAAATTTGAGAGAAAGTGGAACTAGTAATAATCACCTAATTTCCTTCTCTAAGTAGAGCAGTTATCGTTTATCATCTACCCATTCAATTAAAATTCTGCTTCCTTACAATTCTTACCACTCACTAAATACTAATGAATATGCATTCTGCTAGACCACTACAAGCACTATTATAGCCACCTGTCAGAACATCCTTTCCAATAATAGAAAATAGTTTTATCATGAAACTAGAAAATTTGCAGGATTTTTGTGCTTTTTTTTGTCAGTTTTACTCTTTTTTTTTTTTTTGTATTGTCAAGGTGATGTACAGAGAGGTTACAGTTACATAAGTAAGGTACATTTCTTGTCAAACTTGTTACCTCTTCCCTCACTTTTCTCCTACTTTCCTTTTCTCCCAACCCACCCCCCAAGTTGTACAGATCATTTCCAACATATTGTCTTGTGAATATCACTGTTGCATTGGTTCCCCCCTTGTCCTTTGTCTCACCATTCTGTTGTTCCCCTTCCCTTCCCTAATTCAGACAAATGTATATACAATACCAGGGCACCAAAATCAAATACAGAGACAACAGGGGATATACCACAGGGTTAAGAACGTTAAGGTTAAGAAACAAGAAATCACATGTATATAATAACCATGTAGATGATGCTAAGCAAAATGAACTCCAAGTCATGGACACAAGAGGTTTTTGTTTGTTGTTGGAAGGGTTACAGTTAAATGAGTAAGGTAATGAGAACGTTTCCTATCGAGCATTTTTACCTCCTCCTTTGTTTTCCCCCTACCATCCCTTCCCTCTCCACCTCCCCAATTCCTCCCCACCCAAGTTGTAAAGTTCAATTTCAACATAGTGTCTTGTACATCTCATTGTTACAATGGGTCAACCTGTATCCTTATTTCAGCATTTATTATTTCCCTTCCCCTCCCCAAATTAGAAAAATGTATATACAAGATACAGGGCACTGACATCAAATACAATGAAAACAGGGGTTTTACCATGGGGGAAGAACATACAAGAGAAACAAAAAAAAAAATGACATAATACATTATAAATACATTAAAAACAATAGCAAGAAAGAAAAAAACCACTGTGTCCCTATCTTGGGGTTCATTTCACGTAACATCATCTTATATGGTCATATGTACATAGCTTTTGACCTTTTCTGCTTGTCCCAGACTTATACTAGTTATTGCAAATAAGGGAAACCATGGAACCTATGTTTCTTGGGGCCTGGCTTACTTCACCTAATACAATTTTTTCCAAGTCTTTACATTTCCTGACAAATGGGGCAATGTCATTCTTTCTAATGTAGGCATAGAATTCCATTATATACATATACCACATTTTTTTGATCCATTTATCTACTGAAGGGCATCTGAGTTGGTTCCATATCTTAGCTATGGTCACTAATGCTGCGATAAACATACTTGTGCTGTTATTTAAAGACTGAATCCCTTTTTTTCTCTCAGTATATTGAATGTGTAACTTACATCAGCAGAACTACTCATGGCCACAAGATGTCACTGCAATCAAATTTTAAACTGGGCCACATCTCTTGGCTTGGAAGCAATTTCCATGTTTCTGAATACATTGTTTTCTCAGAGTTTATTTCTAACATTTATTAGTTTACCAAGCTCATAATTGCTGAAAATGTTCATTTGAAAATTCATGTACAGTTTTCCAAGAAAATATTATTACAAATGATCATACTCCTAGCCATGTCTGGAAAAATTGATTGATAATGTAACTGCATGTATTATCTATATTTGAACTTCATTTGTCAAATAGACCTTTGTAAAGTGTTAAAAAAAAAAAAATTAACCGTCCATTTAGAAAGGTTTTTGTTTTATTTTTTTTCCATCATGTGGTATGGGGGGGAGGGGCAGGTAACCAAGGATTAAACTCCTCAAGCAAGCTCTTTGCCACTGTTGTTCACCCCTGACCCCTACAAAGTTAATTTTTATGGAAAATGTGGATCAACATGCAAATGATAGGAAATTAGAAAAAGATCCTCTTGTACTTTTAATTAGAATTGCCCTTCTAAATTTGAAACTTTTTTAATGTGTTTAATTTTTCTTACCATTAAATCAAAAGAAAGCAGGTGGTAATTTGTGGACTGTGACTTGCTCTTCAAGCAGACTCCACTTCTGCTAACAGATTCGCTCATTAGAATATGTGAACATTTAAAAGAAACGGAGGGGAACTTTTCCTTAACGTTATATTACCTGACAATTTTCCTCATCTGCATGGAATGGAATAAAAGTTGTAGTTCTGAAAGGGTAATGTTATGAGTGCAAACATCAGAATTCAGAAAAGTTCAGATTTATGATCTGATCCAGCATTCTGCCTTCTGGGTTTGTGTATACCTTTTATAAAGTTGCCTAACTAGTCTCCCTTACTGTTTAGCTAGGTTCAGTCTGTTGGAAAAGGTGACTGTCAGATCATTTTAACTTTGCAGTGTAAACTGCATGTTTATTTTGCACCTTATTCCTAGAGTATCATTCTATAAAGCACTGATGAGTTTTTTGTTTTTGTTTTCGTTTTTGCTTAAGACTGTATCTAGAATACTTAATTCTTTTGGAAGTGAATTTTGAAAATCAGCATTGAGTCTTAACAACATGCTTTGGTATTATGACAGTAAACCTTTGCACAAAGGTTTTATGATAACCTGCATATCACTGTCGGAATAGTTATATACAAGGTAGGGATGCCAAAAATAATGGTAAAATGAGTATTTGAATGTCTATCCTTCCAAAACTGGAAATGAGCATAAAGTCCAAAGCCAAACTTAGTTATCACTCATTTGGAATAGCTATTTTTCAAACATTTCTGACATCAAATCTTTTAAGTTTCTAAAAGCAATACTGCACTATTTGAAGGAGAGAGAAGACCCTGGCCCCTCTCGCCATGTTACTTTCTAAGGAACCTAAGACTTTCAAGTACAGTGTGAAAACCACTGTGCTAAAAAAAGAGCTTCTAAGGAAGGACTTGACTCTGAAAGTAATGAAAAGGCAAGATACAGACGGGGAGAAAATTTTTGTAAACCATGTAATCAACAAAACACTTGTGTCTAGAATGAATAAAGATGTCTGTTGAAATTTACCAGAAAAAAACTCCATAGTTTAATTTGAAAATGGGCAAAATACATGAGGAGATGTCTGACATAAACCTTAGGGAAATGCAAATTTAAGCCACAGTAAAATTTCAGCAGAATCGCTGAAATAAAAAACAGTGGTAGTGAATACTGATGAGAAGGCAGAGGGGCTGGGAAGGTGGCTCAGTGGTAGAGCGCTTGCCTTGCATGCCTGAGGCCCTGGGTTCAATTCCTCAGCACCACATAAGCAAAACAAAAAAGAGAAGGCAGAGAACTGGATTCTTCATCTAATGCAGTAGAAATGTAAAATGATACAGACACTGGAAAAGAGGGTAGCAGTTTCCCATAAAACTAAACATGAGCTGAGTGGCTCACGCCTGGAATCCTAGCTACTCAGGAGGCTGAGACCTGAGGATCACGCTTCAAAACCAGCCTGGGCATGAAAGTCTGTGAGCTCTTATCTCCAATTAAGCACTAGAAAGCCAGAAGTGGCGCTATAGCTCAAGCGGCAGAGCACTCTCAGGGACAGTGCCAAAGCCCAGAGTTCAAGACCCATGACTGACAAACAAAAAAACTAAACATGTGTTTACTATATAGTATAACAGTTGCACTCAGAAATTTTTTCCAAAGAAATGAAAAAACACTATACCAACTCATAATATCTTCACCCCCATTATTCTTTATTTCCCTAACTTTACCACCTCCTGGCATGTTGTCTATTTATTTATTTTATTGGTTCTTTATTGTCCAACTGCCTCTATGTTGAACAAGGAATTAAGTGATCTTCATTACTATATTCCCAGTAGCAAGACCAGTATTTGACATTAGTAAGTATATAATACAAAGTGAGTGGATTATTCATCAATGAAAAAGAATCATGAAGTAGATTTGGGGAGAATTTGAGACTAACACTTTTGCTATTAGTAGTGTTATAGTACTAGCCATTATATATTACTCATTATAAAAGACAGGAGTAGGGAATATCAAGCCCTTATAAAGCCCCCAAAATCCTTCCCTTGAAGCATTTTCCTGTGATCGCCACATGTGCGTGCTCCCATGCATTTTCCTGTGATTTCTGTGTAATACACATGCACACAGATTCGCATACATTTCTGGTGATCTCTCATATTCTACACATACATGTTCCTATGCAAGCATGCACACATGTCCTTGAGGCTTGTCTGTTCATTCCTTCCACGTCTAGCCTTATATAGCCCTACCCATACACAACACACCAGCCCCTTATACTGCTGGTGAAATCATTTGCTCTTTGAAAGGAAAGCACACAATGCTTCTCATTGCTACCTGCAACCCCTCTATCTGTTTTGATAATTTTATATGGCCCTAAAGATACAAATATCCAAATGGCCTTTGGCAGAAAAAGGCTTCCCATCCTGGAAGGATCTAATTTTAAGTAGGAAGTAACATCATACAAATACCTTGCTATGGAGCTGGGAAGGTGGCTTAGTGGTAGAGTGCTTGCCTTGCATGCATGAGGCTCTGGGTTCGATTCTTCAGCACCACATAAGCAAAAAGAAAAAAAAGCCAGAAGTGGCACTGTGGCTCAAGTGATAGAGCGCTAGCCTTGAGCTGAAGAACTGAGGGACAGTGGCCCAGGCCCAGAGTTCAGGCCCCATGACCAGACCTAAAAAAAAAAAAAAAAAATCTTGCTAAAACAAAGTATTCTAATCCAAAGATAAATTTACTCATATTTGTAGAATTGAGGAAGTTGATTTTTATATTGGAAAGATATAACTGATATGTATGTTGAAACTCACAGTTCCAATATATGGATACAAGTGGAGCTACATCATGCAGGCATTCCTAGTGAAATTAAATAGAAATCCTAGAATAACATCTACGAATAGCAAGTGATGTGGCTTACCTCACATAAAGGAACTTGTTTTTTAAAAAAAATTACCCTTTCCAATACCTCAGGAGCAATTGGTACATGGTGATATGGAAAAGTACAAAGTTGACAATTAACCTAGACAATAAAGTGTGTCTAGGTTACCAGAAAGAGTGCCTGACCATTAGTGAGAGGCAATATTGTTTGCATGCCATCTTGGCTGTAGTGAAGGGTAAAATTTGTTTTTAAGTCATTAGTGTTGGGTTTAAAATTTTTAAGTTTGCCACTTATAAGCCATGCAATCTTAGACAAAAAGTTTAACCTTGGACTAATTTTGCTCATTAAAATATAAAAGTGGAGAAGAGTGAAGGTAGAGAAAGCTTGGATACTAGTGGCTCATGCCTATGATCCTAATTACTCAGGAAGCTGTGATCAGGTAAAAGCCAGCATAGTGGGGAAAGTCCATGAGACTCTTATTTCCAGTTTCCTACCCCCCCCTCAAAAAAAAAAAAAAACCACCGGAAATGGAGATATGGCTCTATATCCTAAAGAGTAGAGGTAGAGAAAGCAGACTAGTAAGACAGTTGTATGTAGAGCTAGGTGGCTTACATTTATGATCATAGCTACTCAGTTGAGATCTCAGGATCAAGATTTGAAGCCAGCTTGAGACTCCCATCTCCAAAGCTAGTGGCTCAATTGTAAAGCACCAGCCAAGCAAGCAAGCCAATATAAGCTCCAAGTTCAAAGGTCCAAGTTCAAATCCTGGTACTGGTGGAAGATGGTGAAAGGCAGGGCAGGGGAATGAGGGAGATGATCATTGTGAGAATTCCAGTAAGTGATGAGAAATGCCTTAGTACCTTGTCCATAGAAGTCAATGTTACCTTCTTCCCTCCCAGGCAAATTTGAGGGGGAAAAAATGAGTCCTTTCTTATGGGAGTAGATGATCAAAACACAGGAATAGATCTGCTCTGAGTATCTACATAAACACTTGCCTTAGAAACCCACCATGTCACTTTGCCATTTTTTTTTTGTCAAGGTGGTGTGCAAAGGGATTACAGTTATATAAGTAAGATAATAAGTACATTTCTTGTCAAACTAGTTACCCCTTTCCTCATTTTTCTCCTACTTTCCCTCCCCCCATTTGTACAGATCATTTCCAACATACTGTCTTGTGAATATCCCTGTCACATTGGTTCCCCCTTGTCCTTTGTCTCAGCATTCTGTTGTTCCCCTTCCTTCCCTAATTCAGAAAAACATACAATAGTAACATCTAGGATAATCTTAGCAGGTGAGCAGAAATAGCTCAATAGGTACATACATATGAACATAAAAGATGATGCTAAGTGAAAGGAACTCCAAGACATGGACACAAGAGGTTTTTCTTTGATGTTGTTGTATGTTCCTCCCCCTGTTGTCACTGGATTTGATTTTGGTTTCCTGGTGTTGAATATGTGTTTATCTGAATTAGGGAAAGGAAGAGGAACAACATTTCTTTAGCCAAATACTAGAAGCCTTTCCTTTTGAGTCTACTGACAACAAGCTTTTCAGATCTTTCCTTCAAACCACTGTGTTCTGTCTTTTGTGATGAAATCACACTTCCTTGTCCATGTGGAATATGGTCTCTCAGAACATTTTGCTGTTTGATTTCAGTCTACATGAAATTCTACTATGTAATCTTCAGAGTTTATATACTGTACTTACTTATACTTCTTATTTTTAGCAGCATTTTTTCTTAAATACACTTCTAGAATCTTTTGAAGTTTTCCCTCATAAAATATACATTTAATAAATGTTTCAGATTACCTGATTTTTGTCATGAGTAGTAATTTACAAGAAAAACTTCTTGCTGACTTTTTAGTTTGTTCTTAAAGGAACAGTCACAAGCATACTTAGCAGTATTTTTCCAGAGGAAATTCATGCAATGCATATATTTTGATTTTTGAGGTCATCTGTTCTGTCAAATACATTTATAGTCATAGTGGAGAATGACAGTTAAAAATTCATTAAATATGGCTGGAAAAAGCCTTTAGCAGTTGTTAAGCAAGCATAAAGCCATAAATGTTCCATTGTTCTCTTCTTTTGAAGAAAATAAAAATCAACTGTAATATGTACCATTTGTTTTCAATTTGTCTTTTTTTAACATCTATATACATATTGTTTCCATTTTCTCTATTTATAAAAGAAAATTTCAGGTTTTAAGAGTACTAATACATAACCATTTTGGTAGAGTGAGTTATTAATGTGAAGAATGGAATAGGATAATCATTTGCCTCTAAAAGATGTATTGTTGTTATTGGCATCTTTATTAAATTTCTTTTAGCTTCCTATGTTGAGGTTTTTCCAAATGGCCAGCCAACTCTTTCTATGCTTAGGTGATGTATAAAAAAAGTAACTGAAATCTGTTCCAGGATTGCAGTATACTATGGCTTGCTTTTTCTTTCCCAAGTGTATTGTTTGCAGGTTGATAACTTTATAAATAACAAAGACCACTTAAGTTTTTATTTTTTAAAATCAAGTGTATTTTATTTCTTTTTAAATCTAGGTGACTGTGGAGATCATGTTGTCATAATGAACACAAGGCATATTGCATTTTCTGGAAACAAATGGGAACAAAAAGTATATTCCTCTCATACTGGGTAAGAAAATCATGTTGTCAAAAAGTAGATACTGGGCTGGGAAGGTGGCTCAGTGGTAGAGTAGCTTGCCTTGCATGCCTGAGGCCCTGAGTTTGATTCCTCAGCACCACATAAGCAAAAAGAAAAAAGCTGGAAGTGGTGCTGTGGCTCAAGTGGTAGAGCGCTAACCTAGAGCTGAGGGATAGCGCCCAGGCCCAGAGTTCAGGCCCCACAACCGGACCCAAAGAAAAAAAAAAAGCTTTTGGTGGGGAGGTAAAGGATGGGATGGGAAAGGGAAACAAAGGAGGAGGCTACAATGCTTGATAAGAAATGTAATCATTATCTTGCCCATGTAATTGTAACCCTTCTGTACAGTATTTTCACAATAAAAAAAGGTAGATACTGAAAATGTTTGAATTTTAAAACACTGTTGCTCTTATTTAAAAGAAAGAAAAGTATTTTTCAATTGCTACCATCTAAAAAAGGACTGCCTTTACCCACATTACATGTATAATTTACTGAAGTAAACCAAACACAACTCTGCCATACTACCTGACAGTATTTGTTTATCTAAAAAGGAGGTAAATCCATTGTGTATCTCTTCCTTGCGCGCGCGCGTGTGTGTGTGTGTGTGTGTGTGTGTGTGTAGGTAGTGTGTGTAGTGTTCTTTTATTATCTGATACATCGCTGGCTTAGTGGTCATAAATTTCTTTTGTGTTTATAGCAGAAGCTCTCTTTTGATGTTTAATGTAATTTGGTGTTGGAGGCATGACTCAGTTGGTAGATCACAAGTCAGTGAGTGAGAGGGGCAGGTACCAAGTTCACATTCCAGTCTCAGACCTACCTAACAGATAACTTTGCTGTATATACTAATTGGGACTGAAATTGATCATTCCGGACTCTCACTGCTCTCGTGGTTTCTGTGAGATATGTGCTATTGTTCATATTTGCCTTTATAAATAATTAGAAACTTGTCTCTTCCAGTATTTGTTTGTTTGTTTGGGTAGAACCAGAGTTTGAACTTAGCCTTACACTTAATAAGCATGCACTATACTGTATGATTTTTTTAAAAAAAAAAAACAGACAGGTAACCTGTTTTTGTTTAGCGCTCATGTTTCTGTGTAGAACCAGCCTTAGACTATGATTCTTCTGCCTGTGCCTCCTGTTTAGCTGAGATGATAGGTATGAAACACCATGCTCACTAACTTCTTTGCCTGGCCTGGAACTATAATCCTCCAGATGGCCACCTCTTAAATAGCTGGGATTACAGACATTCACTGCCACATCCAGCCTCTCTTAAACTCTGATTTGCATAATAATGGGACTCCCTATTTTTCGTATTATTCTCTCAATATTTTAGCTATTATTAATGTGCTGTTGTATTTTTTGCTTACTATAAACTTTCTTTATGATACTTTTTCATCTTTGTATGATTAGTTCTACATTTTTCTTTGTAATTTCTTCTGACTTCTAGTCTCAAAATCTTTATTTTCGTAAATGTCCACTTCTAATTTTTTTAGGGGTTATGTGAGTTGGAGGTAAATTCTCACATCTGACTCTTTTGCCATCTAAAAAATATTGGCATGATTTAGAACTACTGTTAGTTGTAGCAAAAGAATTTATGTCATCATTTTTCTTAAGGACAGGATCCTGGCATATTTGTGCAGCCCCAGTACCCAGGACAGTAGACATTCAGTAAGGGTTCATTAATTTAACAGCTAGCATTTTAAATCAATTTACCTCACTCTGTCCAGGGTATCTCCTAGTGGAGGGAAAATGTAGTTATTTTTCACTAATAAAAGTCGATGAGTATTCCATGATTCAAATTGTTCCCAACTCAGAATTTTACATTAGCTTTCCAGATACTCAGGATGAAGTCCAAGCTCCTAAAATATAGCATAAATGGCATTTTGCCTTAGAACTTGCCATCCCAGTGTTTTAAAAAATAGAATTATCTTTTTAGCATAAAAGATAGCTTTCCATGCAGAGAAAAGAAGACAGAAATAGAAGTCTAGCCTGGTATATCTTTTTCTAATGCAAATTCCATGAAACAAAATCAAATCAGTTTGAAAATGAACCATCCTTCTCAGCAAATCTCTAAATTTTCTTATATTTTTTTCCTAAAATCTGATGTCCCCCAGTCCTCTTAAGAATGTTTTTAAATTCTCTTGGATGAAATCACACTTATGTAACATTCAATTTTTCTCACTCCACTGACTTTCCACTTTTTTCCCATTGCATAAAAAAAATGTTGAAACTTTATTCAGGATAAAAATCCTGTGTACATCCATGTGTTTTGATGGTGAATTTATTAGGCTTTTTAACAAATATTTTCCCACTTGATACATACAGTATTATGAAGCAGATTAGGCAAGTATTGTTTTGTTTTGAGTAAAATTATATATAGAAGGGTAAAACAAGTTGCTAATATTATAATGGGAAAATGAGTTGCAAAGCCTAGTTTCTAGACCTGGATCTAAAACATCCACATTATTAAGCTTACTTCAGTATTATTCCATTTTACCCATACTTTAATATAATATTTTATATGAACAAAGGAGATATTATTTAGGCAAATATATACTAGTGGCCTTTTAATAGCCATTAAACAGGAGCTGGGCACTGTTGGCTCAGGTTTGTAATCCTAGCTACTCAGAAAGCTGAGATTTGAGGATCAAAGTTTGAAGCCAATTCAATTATGGCAGACAAATCTAAGAGACTTACCTCTAATGATTCAAGTAGAGTGCTATCTTGAACAAAATAGCCAAGTGAGTGCAAGACCCTGAGTTCAAGCCCCAACACAACACACGCAAATAAGAATAATTATCTCTTTGGAATCTGAACTTGACTTCAGAATCAAATAGTGTGCCACTTTATCTTCCTAAGCCTTCCCTTCCATAGTTTGTAATTTAAATATTTTGATTTATAAATATTTTAAACAATATGTTATCATTTAACATGATATATTTGATTCATTGTTATTTTTTTCATCAGGAAGTGATAAGCTGCTGGGCGCCAGTGGTTCACGCCTGTAATCCTAGCTATTCAGGAGGCTGAGATCTGAGGATCACGGTCCAAAGCCAGCCCAGGCAGAAAACCAGAAGTGGAGCTGTGGCTCAAGTGGTAGAGCACAAGATTTAAGCTAAAGAGCAGAGGGACAGAGTTCAAGCCTCATGACAGACGGAAAAAAAAAAAAGAAGTGATAAACTACCTATAGGAAATGAATGAATGAATGACTAAAACTACAAGCAATAATAGAATTCTACCAAGAAAGTTAAAAGTAAAAGTACTTATGAGGTAGTTGGTTGTTTTAGGAATAGCCTTACTATTTAATTCATTAATAATTATCTTAGTTCAGAAATAATAATTTATTAAAAAGAATGATCAGTTTTAAGTATACAGTATCATAGCCTATGCCCAGTTTAATTATCTTGCTTCTTTTAACAGCTACCCTGGTGGATTTAAACAAGTAACAGCTGCTCAGCTTCACCAGAGGGATCCAGTGGCAGTAAGTCTACTGAGTTTTTATTTGTCATCTGGGGAAAATTGGTTTAGACTCGAGTTTTTAAATAATCTTCCTTCTTTTCTAATGTAACTGCCATTCAGTGCTGCAAAAACTTCACTTAAAGTATGTCACACAAGCTTTGATAAGTAGTATTTTCATTATCATTTAGTTCTATGTGTATGTTCCAACTGCTCTTTATTATACTGTACATTTAATTGAATAATTCTTATGCTTTCTTTTCTTAATATCTGTATAAATTACCTATTATATGATTAATTTTTTTCTAAATTCCTTGGAGAAAAGATAGACTGATGTAGATGTTTATGCCCATGTGACTATGTATATATGCATATATCTGTATATATTAACAAACACGCTAAATAAGTTTTTAATATATTGTTTATCTGAGAGTTTGTTTATGGATTTTGATTGTTATTACACTGTTAGTTTATTATTATTACAATCTTGGTTTTTGTTTTGTACATTTTGAAAATTGAGTCAGATTAACTTAGAAGTATGATATTCCCTGAAGAATAAGTCAAGGTCATTATACACTAACTTTATCTCCACTAACACTTATAATGAGGTCTGTTTTTTCCTAATATTGACTATATTAGCCTCTTTCTGATTTATATTTGCCTATGTCATTTTCTGCTTTGTAGACTTTTTTGACTCTTAACATCTACTCTTTTCCCAGTCTATGTACTTTCTCTGCTCAAGGTTTTGTTTTAATTTTTAGTTTTTGTTTTTTGGGGTTTTTTTTGTTTTTTTTAGGTGGGGGGGTCCGGTTGTGGGGCCTGAACTCTGGGCCTGAGCGCTGTCCCTCAGCTCTTCAGCTCAAGGCTATTGCTCTACACTTGCCACAGCACCACTTCCGGCTTTTTTTCTTTTTGCTTATGTGGTGCTGGAGAATCGAACCCAGGGCCTCATGCATGCAAGGCAAGCGCTCTACCACTGAGCCACCTTCCCAGCTCCTAGTTTTTGTTTTTATTACACGGAAACCAGGACTTGAGCTCAGAGCCTCAAACTCCCACTTGACTTTTTTTACTAATGGCTGTCATTCTGTGCCTGAGTCCCATCTCTAGTCCAGCTTTTTTGGTAGTTAATTAGAGAAACAGTCTCATAGACTTTTCTGATCAGACTTTTTGTACTCAGACCCTCAGGGCTCAGCCTCCTGAGATTCAGAGAAGGTGTCTTCATTCTGGTTCATTTGTTGTGCAGAAACTATAATTTGATACCATCCTTTCTTTTCCTTTTTTTTTTTTTTTAATTTGGTGTGTGTGTGTATATGTGTATACATACCAGTCCTGAAGCTTGAACTTGCTTAAGGCTAGTGCTCTATCATGTGAAAGGCTAGTGTTCTACCATGTGACCCACAGTTCTACTTCTGGTGTTTAGTGCATACTTGCAGTTAAGATTCTCGTGGACTTTACTGTGAAGGCTGGCTTTGAACTGTGATCCTAAGATCTCAGCCTCCTGAGTAGCTAGGATTACAGAAGTGAACTACCAGTGCCCAGCTGCAGTCCTATTTTTTTTTTAATTCCTGTATTTACTTTCCGGGCAATTCTACTCAGCAAATATGCCTATGGTTTTCTGAATTTTTCTTTTGTTTCTTTCAAGGTTTCAGTTGACAGTACACTACTATTGGTTTTATTTATATCGATTTTCAGAAGTGTGCTCAGAGAGCACTTCTTAGAAAATAGTGTTCTGTTTTACAGCTAGTATTTTTTAGACTATTACATGTTATTGTAATCTGTTTAACAACTAATAAGATTTGGATATTATATATTGAAAGTGATAGCAAAGAATGCTGACAGTATACCATAAATATTACAATGAATTGTACTTTTAGTACTTTATAAATATTTAAGGAGTTTCTAAATTAATTTTTTTTTATTCATACATTTTAACCGTACACTAGGAGGCACCACAGTCCAACTTTTTAACATAAATATTTGATGACACTTGCAATAATTATTTCAAATATTTTTATGAATAAACATTGAAATGAATTACAAATAATTGCTAAAAGCTTAGAAGATAGTTTAGTTAAATCTATTCTTATTACCTCATTAAGAGATCTTACTAATTTAGAAAATTTAATTTTGACTTTAATTTTGAGAAAAAACTATCTTCTTAAGGAAGATATCAGTTGTTGTATTTCCAATTATGTTTGTCTAGAACAGACGAGCGTGCCTGCAGACATAATTTGCTAATCAGTACTTGGCTTATCTGACTTACCAGATACGGACGTCTGATGTACATAGACTTAATATTTAAATAGGGTATAATTTTTAAAAATATTTTTAAATACTATTATGACTAGACAGTAAATTCTAATTTTAGGTACATAGAAGTTTTGCTGTCCTTGTAAGTTGTAGCATAGAGCCTTTTGTATGTTAACTCCTTTTTATTTTATTTTTGTCAGTCAAGGGGCTTGAATTCTGGGCCTGAGCACTGTCCCTCAGCTTTTCAGCTCAAGGCTAGTGCTTGAACCACAACACCACTTCTGGTTTTCTGGTGGTAATTGGAGATAAGAGTCTCATGGACTTTCCTGCCTGGGCTGGCTTTGAACTGCAGTCCTCAGATTTCAGCCTCCTGAGTAGTTAGGATTATAGGCATGAGCCACTGGCCCCCAGCAACTACTTTTTATATCTAATACAATTCTTTTATGTGAAATAAGTAGCACATGCCCTGGAATAAGCTCTTTCACATTTGTTCATCATACTTGTTCTAACTTTTTTACTTTCTGAACTTCCTGAAGTATTAAAGTCTTTATCCTTGAAGTCTATCCAACTAGATTGTGTGTACATGGTATTTTATCATGGGTTTATATGATGTCTTTTCCCCCTTGTTAGCATGTAACATTTTTACATTTTTTTCACTTTCACTACTTTGAGGATGATGTTGCATTTTAATTGAACAAAAGTTTTAAGCGCCAACATAGTAATTCAGATAAATACTACTAAATTTTCTAAGATCATGAAAAGTAATAGAATTTACTTACCACTACGATGTTCAGAATATCAAATACACAGCCCCTAGATCAGTGCTGTCCAATAGAAATGTCTGCCATCATGAAAATCTTCTCTCTCTCCTATCAGCTGTGATAGCCTGTAACGACATAGTAGTCACCACTTGAAATGTGGTTTGTGGGACTGAGCAAGTGAATTTTAGTTACTTGTAATTTTTACATTATAAATCTACATTGAAATAAAGTCTCCGCAACATAGATTCAATACAGCACTCACACAGAAAATATATGTGATATGTCATTATCTTTTATCTGTCCTAAGGTACATACTGATTTAATAAGTAAATAAAAGGAGTAGGAAACGGCAATGGAGCCCTGTTCTAATACATTTTCTTCTCATGGTTTGACGCTAGTACACATCAAATTGTCTTATGGAATTATTAAAAATCAACTTAACACTTCTAAAGTCTCAGTACTTTCATGAAGAACTGATACTATATTCATCTATATTATATACCAGGAGCACTCTCTTCAACCCAGGAAATGTAGAACACGGTAAAACTACATAGCCTTGACCAAGTGTACATAAAATTATGTTCATACCAGCAATGTATAGAACTATAAAATGGATAAGTAAGTCATGGAAAACCTAGAGTACCGCTTTGGGAATGGATGTGATAGAGTGAAAGGGCATTGGCCTCTGTATAAGTCACAGAGAGTGTGTCTGCCTATATGGGGTGCCTGCATGCTTGGTTTGAGTTCCAACTAGGGAACTACGGAAACTGAAACTAGGGAAATTCTTTATCTTCACTAAATCCATTTCCTTATCTACAAAACAAGTCTAGCTATAATGGATACTTCCCTGAGTCATAAGAAAGATTTCTAACCAGTATTGTGCACAATGTAAGTTTCCCTAGAATGTTAGCCATGATTCTTGTTGTAGGCTTGTGTCTTAGAGAGTGTGTCTGTAGTTAGTCTGTAGTAACTGTAGTTAGTCTTAATTTATGAATTGAAAACTTACCAACCAGCAAGAAACAGGTGAAGGCATCCTAGATTCTGCTGTGGGTGACAGATTATTTGAACCAGTTAATTGCATCAGGCTAGAGAATTTCTTCTGAGGCTATCTAAAATTAGCACAAAAGTGGATTCTTTTAATATTTAATCTTTTAATATTTTTAATATTTCCTCATTAAATGAAAAAACTAAACAAAAATAGCATAATTAGCAGCCTAGAGTATGATAATATACAAATAAAAGTTCCTTTTGTATTCTTTTCACGTTTACTTAAGTTTCTTTCTGACCCTCATGCTGAACCATAGTTATGAATTTTTGTCAGCCTATCTAATTGTTTCCTTTCCTTATACCCAAGTAAAGTTTTTCTTACTAAGTATATCTGTTTTTCAGATTGTGAAACTGGCTATTTATGGCATGCTGCCAAAAAACCTTCACAGGAGAACAATGATGCAAAGGCTACATCTTTTCCCAGACGAGGTGGGTCCATAATCAGTGGTAAAGATACCTTTACTAATGTTTCGTTAAGCATTTTTTCTTCCTTTCATATTGCTAGGATTAGTCATAATTGTATCCCAACTTCTGATATATTTTATATTTTTAAATACACACACATAAAACATGCACATATATAAAATGATAAGTCATCCTGTTTTAAGCTGTAAAACAAACTATCATTAGGCTAACAAGAGTCTACAAGTTCTTTGTTTTTTCCTCTTAGTATCTGCTGTCTTTTGAACAAGGAACTCTTTCTTGAGAAAAAGGACAAAGTTATTATGGATTATACACTTGCATGGGATTTCTGTTTCTGCAGTGATAATAGTAAAATAATAGAAAGTAACAAAAATAAGACTCAAACACTGAGGCAGAAGAATCAAGGGAACACAGCCATTTTGAGGTATTCTTACCCTAAACCCAAGATCAGACATGCTGGTATGGGACAAAGTGGCATGAACTGCCTCTTGCTGTGAAACACTGAAGATTCCAAATAAACTGTGTGGCATCTAGCAGAAAAATACCCTAGGTTTCATCATGAACAAACATTTGGGAAAATCCAAATATAAAGAGATTCCACAACATAATAGACCTCTTCTAAATGCTAATTGCATAAAAAGAAGGCAAGGAAACTTCATATTAAAGGAGCATGTAATCCTTGACTAAATTGTGAATTTATTTTATATGAAAGAAACCAGTTTTGAGAAGTTGAAATAAATGTTATTTAATAGATGAAAAGTATTTTATTGGTATTCACCTTGTAGAACATACACTTGTGACATAGATATATAGACTATGCTTATATTTAGGAGATACCTAATGAAATTTTTAGAGTTGAATAATTTTCAGGTTACTGAAATAGTTCACCCAGAAAGGGTATACAAGTAGACAAAACCAGAAAGCAGACATAGCAAGTTAACTTTTGGGGAATTTAAGTATTCAGTGTAATCTCACCATATTCTGATGAGTGTTCCCTGTATTCTCACAGCATTTCTATAGATTTGAGATTTTTGTGCAATAAAAAGTTGCAAACATGGCCCATCTGTAGTCCCAATATAGGCAGAGAATGGTGAGTTCAAGCCCAGCCTGAGCACATAGTGAATGCCAGGCTGGTCTGAGGGATATAAAGAAAAACTGCTACACAAACAGTAGTAACAAAGCAAGTGATCACCAAGCCCTTACACTATTTCTTTTTCTCATCTTACTCATTAGGCTAATACCCCTTCTGTGAAGAACTCTTAGCATCACTAAATCCAGTCAGTTAGCATTTCTGGGCACTGTCTCTGTGTGCAGACTAAAGGAGGCTCTTCTGCTCTTATTCTGTATAATGCTTAATCAACAACTTTAATTCTTCATTTCACATCAGTTGTTTCATTTCAGTAAATTCCTCTTAATGGTAAGGAAATTTGGAAAAGTCATGTTTGTCAGAATTCCATTGTTTAGCACACATTTACCAGCAGCCATGTGACCTGCAGCCTCCACTGAGTAAGCAGCTCTGAGAATTGTCTTATCAAGTGATCTCAGGCTTTTGCTAATGGCTTCCCAAAGAAGAGTGTGATAGTCGTTAAAGTTCATAAATACAAAACCATCACATAGCCCCTCTCTGTATGTAAAAACTGTCACTTAACAGTGTTTCGTGTGTCCAGACGTCATCTCTGCTTGTTCGGAATCTGCGATTATGCATGAGTATTAGAATGTCTGGAGGAAGTGATGGGAAGGAGATGAAAATATGTTTAAAACGCTTCTCAGGACAATCCACTACCAGTAGATGTCTTTGTTTTGTATATGTTGATAACCACCCAGTCTGTGTATAGTTTGAGCCATTTCTAGGAACTGCTAGCAACATGAAGGCAAGTGGAAAGGCAGTGGCACTGGGTGTGTGAGCCCTGGGCAGACAGTGCACACTCACCGGTGAATAAATGGTCATGGACCAAGGCAACGCCTTCTTACAGCGGAAGAGGGAGTGAACAATTTTTTTGTTCTGGGTTTTTTGGTTGTTTGTTTATATTTTTGGCCTTGAACTCACATTCTTCCTGCTATAGCCTCCCCAGTTTGGGGCTTACATCATATACCACCACATTTGGCTCTATAAATAGGTTTTGTTGTTGTTCTTTTTTTTTTTTTTAACAGTGTATCATAATAGGATTAGATTGTTGGCCCACTGTTTCAAGGATTTATATAAAGATTGTATTTACTCATTCTTTGAGCTCTTTTGCTTTTGTTGTGTTTTTTTAATGTTTTATAGTTATTACAAAAGTGGGGTTACTTTTGCTTAATTTTAATTCCTAAGTATTAATAATTCGTTCTTAAGAAAGGTATAGTAAAGATGCTTAGCCTCAAATGTGTTTAACATAGGATATTCCAGAAGCTATTCTTAAGAATTTAGTGGAAGAGCTTCCTCAGCCACGGAAAGTGCCCAAACGACTGGATGAATATACCCAGGAAGAAATAGAAGCTTTCCCAAGAGTGTGGTCTCCGTAAGTGTCCTTCCTCTTGTCTTCCTTCTTTATCTTTAAAGTAGAACTTGGTATTCCCTGAGACGGGAAGAGTATACTCATTGTTTTAGAAAAATGGGGGAAAAAAGTTTGTTTGCAGAACTACTGTCATAATTGAGTTTACATTGAGTCCTTGTGATGCCTTTTTCTGAAGACTAGACCTCCCAAAGATGGCATTGAATCTATAAACATCCACAGTTATAGGTCATGACTATTCTCAAATGAACTCTAAAGCAGTTTGACCAAAGCAGTGTGGCAGTGTACTAACATCCACAACTAATTGTCATTCCTCTTATGATAATCAAAAAGTTCTGATCAGAATGCTTCCTTCATTAAATGGTTCCTGCTTCATTTTTAAAACAAATTAGGTCACTCAATAGCTGTGTTACATAGTAATAGAATTAGAATGTGTTTTTCTGTGGTCATTTAAAGGATAATGTTTGAAGAAATTTAGAACTACTTGGTGCATTTTTTTAGTGACTAGTCTAGGAGTGGCTTTTCCTGCCCTTTTTACTCTGCATTTCTCTATAGCAGGAATATGCATTAGCATTAAACAGCAGGCTTCTCTTTATGGTTTTTTAAAGTTATGATCTTTCCATATAAGTAGTCACACAATAACATATGTTAGCTGCCAATGCCAAAATAATAAAGTAGATATACACTTACTGAAACTTGAGGCTGTATCATGGGTATGGTATACTAGTCATTTAACATCAATCTTTCAAAATGTCATTCTCCCCTCATGTTAGAACTGACATCTAATCCAGTTAGTCTTTTATTACATGAAAAGCATGTATCCGTGATAAAGTAGTCATTGGGGCTAACCAAATCTCGCCTGAGAAACAGATATCTTTTATTTCATGCTGTCTTAAACAAGTTTCTGCAGTGATGAGAAAGTTTTCTACCTGAGTCTCAGATACAGTAGCCACTGGCCACATAGTTGCTGAGCATTTTCCCTGCAACCGCTATACCTAAGAGCTAATAAATTCATGTGGCTAGCACTTGCCTTACTGGACTAGCATTTCAGTTGTTCTGCTAGTAAGCATTAGATACACCACGCCATACAGTGCACTGGAAATGAGAGTGCTTATGCAAGCTTGCTTTTATAAAAAGAAATAAAGAAAATCTGTTGGAGGAGGAACCTACATAAAATATGCTTTTGTTCCACCCAAAATAGCTAAGCCAAGAGTACAATCTTCCTTTGGAATGTAGTTATTGGAGTTAATTCAAGACGAATCTGATAGTGAATGTGCAGAGACTTGACTGAAAGAGATGTCCCTGCCTTGCTCCACAAGCACATAGACATCCAAGTAGCCTGCTTTGATCTTTGTGTTTCCCTGGTAATACAACTTGACGTGTTCATAATGTAATTGGGCTACTGTATTACTTTCGGTAAAATATATCTATTAGCTATTTTGTAATAAGTTAAGAACTTTTAGACAGTAGTAATAATTCTCAGGTTGAGCGTTGTACCCAGCAGATAACTAACAAAATTGTTTTACTCTTAATTAAAACCTACCATTATTGGGATTTTATTTTAACAATTATAAATCACTAACAGAGGCTATATTCTGTTCAGCATGTTAGGTTTGCTTTTCTTTTTTTTTCTTTTTTTTTTTAACTGTGAAAATCCTGTACAGAGGTGTTAAATTACGTGGGCCAGGTAATGAGTAGATTTCTTATCAAGCATTGTTGCCTCCTCCTTTGTTTCCCCTTCCCATCAGCCCGCCCCCATCACCCAACCCCCCCCCCCCCACCAAAGTTGTAAAGTTCGTTTTTCGACATAACGACTTGTACATCTCATTGTTGCAATGGGTCCACCTGTATCCCTATTTAAACTATTTGTTTTTTCCCTTCCCCTCCACAAATTATACCAACCATCAAATACATTGAAAGCAGGTGTTATACCATGGGGGAGGGACATACAAAGCAACAAAGAAATCATCTTATAAATATGTTAGAAACAATTACAAGAAAGAAAAAAAAACATTTGAATACTTATCTTGGGGTTCATTCCCCTAACATCAACTTATCTGACCTTTTCTGCTTGACTCATACATATACTAGTTATTGCAAATAAGGGAAACCATGGGATCTATGTTTCTTTGGGCCTGGCTTACTTCACTTAATATAATTTTTTTCCAAGTCTTTCTATTTCCTAACAAATGTGGCAATGTCATTCTTTCTGATGGAGGCATAGAATTCCATTGTATATATATGTCACATTTTCTTGATCCATTCATCTACTGAGGGGCATCTGGCTACAATAAACATAGTTGTGCTGGTAGCTTTAGTGTGGTCTTGTTTGTGATCATTTGGGTAAATGCCCAAAAGTGGGATTGCTGGGTCATAGGGGAGCTCTATGTGGAATCTTTTGAGGAACCTCCATATTGCTTTCCAAAGAGATTGAACAAGTTTACACTCCCACCAACAATGCAGTAAGCTTCCCTTCTATCCACATCCCCTCCAGCATCTGTTGTTATTAGAGTTCTTGATTATAGCCATTCTAACTGGGGTGAGGTGGTATCTCAATGTTGTGTTGATTTGCATTTCTTTTATGGCTAGGGAGGTTGAGCATTTCTGCATGTGTCTATTGGCCATCCTTTTTTCTTCTTCAGAGAAGTTTCTCTGTAAGTCTTTAGCCCACTTATTTATTGGGCAGTTGTTTCTTTGAGGATTTGTTGTTGGGGGATTTAATTTTTTGAGTTCCAAGTATATTTTAGATATGAGACCCTTGTCTGTTGTATGGCTAGTGAAGATCTTCTCCCAACCCGTGGGCTTTCTATTGATCTTGCTAGCAATGTCCTTTGCCATGCAGAAGCTCTGCAATTTTATGCAATCCCATTTGTCCATAGGTTTGCTTTTTCTAACTATATGATTAATCACTTTTTAAAATAATGGTAGAATATAAAGAAGGAAACATGTCTATGACAAGCCATATGTTTTTAAATGAAAAGCCATTTTCCCACATGGGTGATATTGGCTGTTTATTTCATTTCTTAAATTACCAGATATACTTGGTGTCTTGTATACAAACAAGTAAGCTTATAAGACAATAACCATGGAGCTATGTTTTATGTTTCTTGGTGGAACAAAATAAATGTGTTTACCTTATGCAAGAGGTGATCATAGGGTTTGCAATTGGAATTTTTCTTTTTCTAGGGAAGGGGAGAAAGTAAAAAAGCAAGCTCTAGCAATATCCTTTCTTTGTGGTTCACATGCCTGAAATTGTAGCTTTCAAATGGACAGCTTACTTCAACAATACCAAAAATTATTTCATAATTACTGCAGTTTTGCCAGCACATCACAAAACCTAATCGTGGAAGTTATAATACTGTCATTGTAATGGAAGCTTTTTTAATTTGTTTTTGTTTTTGTTTTGTCAGTCATGGGGCTTTTTTTGGGGGGTAGGGGGGGTCCGGTCGTGGGGCCTGAACTCTGGCCCTGGGCTCTTTCCCTCAGCTCTTCAGCTCAAGGCTAGTGCTCTACCACTTGAGCCACAGCGCCACTTCCAGCTTTTTTCTTTTTGCTTATGTTGTGCTGAGGAATCGAACCCAAGGCCTCATGCATACAAGGCAAGCGCTCTACCACTGAGCCACTTTCCCAGCGAACTTAGGGCTTAGGCATTGTCCTTGTGCTCTTCAGCTCAAGGCGAGCACTCTACCACTTGAACCACAGTGCCACTTCCAGTTTTCTAGTGCTTTATTGGAGATAAGAGTCTCATGGACTTTTCTGCCCGGGCTGGCTTTGAACCATGATCCCCAAATCTCAGCCTCCTGAGTAGCTGGGATTACAGGCGTGAGCCACTGGCGCCTGGCTTGGAAGTTTTGTTTTTATTATGTAGGCTAAATTTTTTTAATTTCGATCATATAAAACTTTTATTTTCAAGTTTTACAAAATTCTATACCAGAGCTTCTCAAGAAAAATAAAATAGGTGGGAAATGTCAACTTGAATTGCTTTACATTGTAATTCCTCACTTGTGAATCGAGAGTTTTTAAGCAAAACTTTCACCTTTTAGAGGAAGTAAGTAGAAAAATTCAACATCAATGAATACTTAAAAACAGGTATTTATGATGAATATCTATGTTCCTAGTACCTGCTCTTTACAGAATATTCTATGAAAAATATACAAAATAGAGGTGGGAAGGGTGAGGAAGAATAAGAATGACCATGGTGTCTTTCTGGGAAAAGGCCCAAAGTGTCTTTCTGTAGAAAGGGATTAGATTTATAGGGTTTAATAGTAATCCATCCAGATGTGCACAGGAATGAGTAGTTCCTGGTGCTGGGAACAGTAGCCCTAGAATTTTCTTGGCAAGCATCTTATTCAGTGGCTGTCTTACTATGCCACGCTTGAAGAGAATAAGGGCTTAAGCTAGTACATGCTCTCTGACCTGACCACTATTGCTCCAAAAAATATACTTACCTTCTATTTTAAAGTAATATTAAGAAAAAAGTTACTTATGTCTGTATAAAATATACTTTTTTATATCAGAGACTTTTCTGTATTCTGAATCCCCTCAAGATCAGGGATCTGGCCTGCTGTAAGATTTTCCATAATTTTATGCTGGTCTGGTCATGTGGCATTCTTCCCACATGATCTAGCTTAATTTGCTCCCCTTCACTGTCAGAAGTTATTAGCTGGACTTAGAGAGCTGGCTACTTTCCAACTTTCCCAGCCATTTCAACCAGTTCCTATTGGTGTAAACCAAAGCCCTCAGTATTTCCAGGGCTGAGTTTTGCTCAAATTAGTTATTGTAAATTGTAGTGCTCCTTTGGATATGAACAGATCCGGAGTGGGCTGTTAAAAAAGCAATCTACTTAAATGACAAAACCCCCCAGACCAATGTACAGGTCCTATGCTTTATAGACTCTGACTTTAAAAAGTAATCGTTGAATGTAACAGTAATTCCCATTTTATTTTAATCAAAGAAAATATTGTAATTTTTCCAAAAAAATTTTTTTTGAAAAACAAAGCACATAGCTGGTTGTCCGTGGTTCACGCCTATAATCTTAGCTACTCAGGAGGCTGAGATCTGAGGATTGTGGTTCAAAGCCAAACTGGGAAGGAAGGACCCTGTGAGACTCTTATCTCCAATAAACCACTTAAAAAACTAGAAGTGGTGCTGTGGCTCAAGTGGTAGAACACTTGCCTTGAGCTGAAGAGCTCAGGGACAGTGCCCAAGCCCAGAGTTCAAGCTCCATGACTGATAAAAAGAAAAAAATCAAATTTAAAAGAAAAGAAGAAAAAGAGGCAGGAAAAGAGAAAGAAGTTAAGGAAGAGAAAGGTTATTGCTCTTCAGATGATAGGGATGGAAACATTTAAAAGCATAAGTACAAAGTAGCTAGGGTTGCCTAGTCCCAGTAGCCTGAAAGAACCTAACTGAACAAAGAATGTGTTTATTTTAACAAAGTATTTAAAAGGCAAGATGCATTGTAGTCATAAATTCATATGTTGAGTTGAACTCCTTTTGTCCAACTGCTTAAAGATAATAAAAATTTTGAAAGTTAAAAAGAAAAACAAAGCACATCCTGCCTCAGCCTCCCCAGTGCTATGGTTACAGGTATGTAACACCACATCTGGCTTCACCTCTTGTAGTGTCTTAGCTTTCCCTCTTTAAGTAGAAAGGAATATGCAGGGCAAATGAGTTATATGTGCTCTGGCTTTTGTTTGTGTTTACAGAAAGAGGCAGAACCATATTTAGCATAAGCCTGGCTTCCCCACAGGAGAACCTCCTGAAGCCAGGCAGTGTTGGTCACCTTCAGTATGAAAACACATCACTAGTTAGGTCAGCATCCCAGTGTCCAATGTCTTGGCCATGAAACTTCCCACCCCCCTCCAGGAGCAAATTAATCATCTGAAAAAGATCCCAGTTACTTGTCAGTAAAAGAAAGGAACGGGTGAGTTGATAAACCTACTACTCTCTCACTGTGAGTGTGTCCTTAGACACACATTAGGGTAAAGAGGGGTTTAAAAAAATGACTTTCTAGCCCGGCGCTGGTGGCTCATGCCTGTAATCCTAGCTACTCAGGAGGCTGAGATCTGAGGATCGCATTTCAAAGCCAGCCCAGGCAGCAAAGTCCATGAGACTCTTATCTCCAATAAACGACCAGAAAACCAGAAGTGGCGCTGTGTCTCAAGTGGTAGAGCACTAGTCTTGAGCTGAAGAGTGCAGGGACAGCGCCCAGGCCCAAAGTTCAATCCCCATGACCGACAAAAAAAAAAAAGACTTTCTCATGAAGGTGTTGTGAGGATAAAGTAAAATGTCTCATATAGAACAGGTCTTATCATGTGTGTCTCCTACTAGTTCACTCAGCATGTGCTATGTACAAGTGAGAGCCAGTGCAGTTGCAAAATCTCTAGTAGCAGTGTGCATGACGTTCTCACAGCCTTAGAAAAAGGTGGCCTGCGAGGTTTAGAAAGGGAGAGTTGTGAAGAACTTGCGAGAAGATAGAACCTTTCAGGTGGAGTCTGAAAGATTAGTCACGCAGAGAAAAGATTAGAGTCATCCCAAGCAGAGGAGAAAATCTCAAGCTCAGCAGTATGACAGTTTCATCCAAGCAACCAAGCGGTATAGAGGGACCAGAATGCAGAAACCTGGGATTAAAAATAATGACCCAAAGAGGTTAGCTAGGGCCATGTCACAGAAGATGGTGTGTTTTCTTCTGAAGTATGTCCACTTTGCCGAAGAGTGGGCCGTGGCCAAGTATTAAACAAGGTAATGAGATACGAAGAAGGGAGGTGGAAGAGAAAGGATCGGTGTTAGACGCCAGTGAGTGTGTCCCCACTTCCCTCAACTTGCCTGAAACTCCCAACCCCAGTGTCTGCCTACTTACCATGTACTCAACACCAGTCTTCCAGTCCCCATCCTGAAAAGTAACTTGGCCATTCACTGAGTTCTTGAAGCTGGAAATTAGTAGTTGTCTTTGAATAGTTTTCTTCCTGTAGCTCCTCCTCTGTCTCTCCCTCCTCCCTCTCCTATCCAGCCAATCACCCCTATGTGTTACTGCTTCTTCAAAATCCTGAACCCCACCTTTCTTCTCACTCCTTACTCCCTCAGTCCAAACTGTCCCTAATCTTTCTCCAAAATTATTTGGAACTAAATTAGGGCTTTGTGTACCCCCTTTTCCCTTGAGGTCAGTGGCTATATGCCTAGAAGATTACATCCTTCACCTGTATTTCCAGTTCTGCTTCTGAATTCCACCAAAACAGTGGTGGTGTCATTTCATCCTGACTTAACAGTGAACCTGGGACGGAGAGACAGCTAGTGGCTGACTAAACACAATTTCCTTGAGTGGCGTTACCGAGGCTGCTTGTGGAACCATGTCTTACGTTTCTTTCCAGTTGTATCACCAGCTCCCTTTGCAGTCTTCAGGAAGGGGGATGGGGAACGGATGGTTGGTCGCATGTGTGGCACCCCACCACCAGGGTGTGCAGGGACTGCACCAGTCACCCTGCGGGCCTTCCCCGTGCACACGGGAGCCGCTGGGAAGGATCACATCACCTTGTTTCCTAGACTTCAGTTGTAGCTTTTACCTTCAGAGATTGCGTAACCACAGTGACAGGCTTGTCTGCGTGTTGTTCTGGTCCGCTGATATGGAGAAGACTTTCTGGCTGGTTGCCTAGGTCAGTGCCTGTGCTCATCAGTTTCACACTAAACAATTTCAAGTTGCAATATAGTATTTTTACTCAGCCAGTAGGCTATGGGTCAGCTGATCTGGGCTATCTGGTTTCTCATAAGTATTCAGTTTGAGAAAAAAATACTGTAAATGTTTTCTCAGCTAGATAAATCATTCCAAGGCAAGCAGGGTGCATCTAGTTTTCTGAAGGAACTCCAGATTATCAAATATTTTTACAGCTGTTTCAAAACTATCTGCTCATTTTGTGTTACTATCTTTTTTAGAAAACTCCATGAAAACCTAATACCAACACACTATTGAGAGATAACAGGACACTTTACTTTTGTGCATTGTATGATTCCTTATTCTTTTTGCTATGATTCTGCTCATCATTTGAGCCAGATTTAGCATGTATTTGAAAATGTTCTAATTTACTAAGGGAAATGACCTTTAGTCATGATTAATACTATTGAGACATAAATATGGAAAAAACAATTATATGTATATAAAAAGAGAAAATACCTGAGGTAGAAACATGTGATATATATTTCATAATGAAAGCTTACATCTGATTGTACACCTGTAATCTCAGCATTCAAGAGGATAAGGTTCATAGCAAGACCCAATCTCAAGAGATAGATAAAATGTAACATATAATAATACCAATAGGGAGATTGCTTGCTCAAAATTTGTATTTATAGGATAAATCCTTCCAATTCTTAAGATCACAGTAGTCTTTTCTGTGAGAAGAGCTTACTGAAAATTGAAGCCAGTAGGTATCAGGTGGCCATATCGGTATTTTCTAAAGGTCCATGGAATTGTCATTTAACTCTTCCTTGATTTGAATATTTTTATCAAATCTTTAGATATACTATTCATAGATATTTCTCAATGAACAGTTATTTTCATTTTAAATTGGACAAGAAATCTTTTGTCAGCCAGGAGGAAGTGAAATCATGATTCCTGAAAAAGTAAGTATTGCTTTTGTCTTTCAGACCTGAAGATTACCGACTGTAGGAGAGTGGCAATTACAGAGGTGGTTAAGCTGCTTCTTGAAGTTTCTCTGACTTAGGACAAGGCTGGAGCAACTACTTCCATGCAGCAGGATGAAGCCCACCAAGGGAGGGCTGGTCCATCAGGAAACTGCAATGAAATGCATTATTTTATTTAATCTGATTTAAATGTCATAAATGATGATAATAAAATTGCCTATTTGGTTAACTAGTCAATGTCACATTTCATGGATGTAGCTCACAGATGTAAGTTGCCAACATGCCCATCACTGGATTTTTCTCCAGTTCTAGATCCCTGTTCTTATGCCCTGGGAACAAGCCTCGCCTTTGTTTCCTTTCTTTGTCTACTTTACCTAGTCTTCCATCCGGCTGAGCTCACCTTTCCAATTTAGTGCTGTAATGTTTAAAGTATCTTCAGGCTGCTGTCATCTTTTTCTGTGTTCTAGAGAGCCAATCCAGTTCTCCAGAACAGCATAGGAAGAAAACGGATGAATATCTTCTTACTACATGTGTCTATAATGAGCCATATAGTTCACATCATCCTATTGGTTCCTAAGCAGGTTTTCTCCAGTTAATACCAAGTAAACATGAAGAACAGCAGCCAACTGTGCATTCTGATCTTGCAAAATATGCTATACTCTTGTCCCCTGTGTGATTTGTTTCACTTTATTCCAACTTGCAGTGTTGCAAAGCTTGGGAACACAAGAACATGTGATTATATTTGAAAGGAAAATGTAACCCAGGCAGAAAGTAACCCAAAAGACCTTCGGACAAGATCACAAGGTAGAGGAGAAGATTTGTTGCCAGCAGAGCTGACAAAACCAAATTCTCACGAGGAAAGGGAGAAAATGGCATCATCCAGCTCCTTGGAGGCCCCTTTTATTTCATTGGGGGCCGGAAGTGGGAGGTACCTCATCTACTGTGCCAGCGCTGCTATTGAGGGCAGAGATAAACAATATTGATAAACATCAGTAACAACACTGAAAATAAAGGAAGCAAGATCCTCTGTTAACTTCCCAGTAATCATCTGCTTTCCAGAGAAATGACAGCAAAGTATTTTCACCTCATGTAGCACAAGAGTGCATTGTGTTGCTGGGGGCTGAGAGTCCCTGCCTGTAATCCCAGATACTCCAGAGGCTGAAATCTGAGGATCAAGGTTTAAAGCCAGGTGGGAAATAAAGGTCTGAAAGACTCTACAGTTATCAAAAAGCCATAACTAGAGGCATGGTTCAAGTGCTAGAACACCAGCCTTGAGTTCAAGTCTCAGTACCAGCACAACAGCAGCAAAAGAAAAGCCATTTAGTCTCATTTAGCCTCACATCGTTGTGAGAAAGGGTACTTAAAACAATGATGCATTTCTGTGTCAAGCTAGTTGGATTAGAAAACAGAACAATAGTCTGCAGCCAAGTTCTGTATCAAGTTCCTCACATCATTCACAAATGATTATCTTCCTTCTACATGGCAAGAAACCTCAGCCTCCTCTTCCACCAAGCGAACTTCTCGTGTCTTATAAATAAAATCCAGCATTTTCAGTAGTCTAGTTTTACTAGAAAGGTATGATGTTTGCAGTTACCTATAAAATTACAAGCCTTGAATTTTCTGCTTCATTTTTCCCCTATCCCTCTTTGTTTTGTTTTGCTTTTGGTGCTAGTACTGGGATTTGAACTTAGAGTTTAAGCACTGTCCCTTAGCTTTTTTGCTCAGTGCTGCTCAGAGCCTCCCACCACTGTGATACTTTTTCAGATGGCAGAACCTTGCTATGCAGGGTTGTATACTCCCTGTCTGGCATAAACAAGCAAACACACTAGTTGTAACTGACCTATCACATCCTCTTGCAGAGTCCTGAAGATCACACTTCCCCAACCATACAAGGCCATTCAGTGTGCCTGCAGTCACCCACTTAACTGATCAGCAACATGCCTTGTCTGGAGACACGGACTATCTCAGAGGTTCAATCAGGACTTAGCCTGAGGGACAAGACAACGTGGTTTAAAGATGATCTTCACAAGTATCTTTGCCCAGACTTTCAATCTCTTAATTCTTACCTTAAGAAGACATCAGCTAAGATTTCTGGGGTTGATAAATTAGCTCTCTTAGTTTAGACAAACTGGAAGAAATGGGAAGCTGGAGTGGTGAAGCTCAAGGCCCCGAGTTTGAACTTTAGTAAATAACTGAGGAAAATAAACTGGAGCCAGAGGCTGGAATTGGTGGTGATGGTTAGTGGTCATACCATTTTTTTAAGTGATTTCTTAAGAATTTTGTTTTGCTTATATTATTTAATGCAGATGGAGTCTTTTTAAAAAAATTAAACACACATACATTGCAGTTAGCAGAGTCCTTCAGTGGTTCTCCTTTATTATAGTTGCTGCTAAGCCAGGGGTAGCTACTGGCTGGGCATGCACTTCATCTTTTTTTCTATGCTGCATTTGACTGATTTGTTTTCCTACCTTTTGGAAAAGGGGATTGGTATCATATTCAGCCAAGAGCAACATTAAGTCCAGATCTCTCCTGGCTAAAAAAAATCCTGCTGTGGAACAGGTAGCAAGGTCAAAAGCTGCAAAGCCGAAGAGCCTTGGGAGTGTTCTGCTGCCAAACTCTGCAGCTTGGGGTTTAAATTGGATACAACCCTGATTAAGAAGGTCTTAGCCTCCCAAGGCAGATATGAAGTCTTCAAATCAACTTAAATACAAGCTCTTGCAGAGAAATGGTATTTCTCCTCTGGCCAAAACATTTGAAAGAAGACAAGCGAGTCGCTCTGCAGTCTTCCTACTATTCAGGGCTACACCTTGGAAGATGTAAATCTGAGAGGGACACAGTTAAAACAGATGCCCAACGCCACCTGAGGACCCGATTGGATTAGGCAGGCTGCCAGCAAGCTTTAGGATGCATTTTCCACATGCAGACAGCCTGAACAGTCTCTGAAAAGACACATGTCTGTAACAGCCATTTGAGCCACGGGATTCTCTTGGATTTCAAACAGATACTCTCTTCATGATTTAAATCTGATTCCACTACCCTCATGATTCAATTCCAAGTCTAATACTTATTAAAACCTTGCTTCCAGTAGCCACTCGAAGACTATCCTGTTAGTGGCCGAGCACCTGTGCTTTATAGGCTCATGTGGAGCTCCAGCTCATCAGCCTGGATCAAACCATTTAGCATCAATGCTTTGAAATTATGACACCATTTGGCATCATTTTGAGTAATCACAGAACTGAAAGGAGTCTGGCATTTGGAGGAAATTCTGAGCATTAAAGCATCTGTCTTTTAGTCTTTGGCAAAGTCAGCCAGTCCAAATAAAATATTAGTATAATGTGTTAGGAGACTATTACCAGCTCTTTTGCTATCCATTTGCTGTCCCCAGCATGGTATGGAGGTACAGCCAGTGTAGAATAAGTGTATTCTTCAGAAAATTGAACCTCGGGCTGGGAAGTTGGCTCAGTGGTAGAGTGCTTGCCTTGCATGCCTGAGGCCCTGGGTTCGATTCCTCAGTACCACATAAGCAAAAAGAAAAAAAAGCCAGAAGTGGCGCTGTGGCTCAAGTGGTAGAGCGCTAGCCTTGAGCTGAAGAGCTGAGGGACAGCACTCAGGCACAGTGTTCAGGCCCCACGACTGGACCCAAAAAAAAAAAAAAAAAGAAAGAAAATTGAACCTGGAAGTCTAAACCTTAGAAGCGTCAAGCAGCCAATGCTGCAATCTATATTGACAAAGGATCAGCTACAGTACTGTATTCAATCATCAACCAACATTTCTATCCCAACCTTAAGTGGCTTGAGTCATTTTCTAGGGTGCCTGAGCTACGTATGTAACTAAATCCAAGTCTCACTTTATTACAGAGCCATATTCTAGTGCAGGAATGTAGATTAAAATATTATCTGTAAGTTACATTAAATATTTACAAGTTATACTAGTAGATGTTAAATGGGAGATCTCTCAGGCATTCCAGGATACTCCTGCATAACAAACAGTACCCTAATGCAATGGATTTTTTTTTTCATATGTGCATATGACTGGTGGAATTCCACAGATTCCTCTTGGACTCAATGGGGCTGACCTCCAAAGTCTAGATCACATGCCCCTGATTAGTTTGGACCAGTCGGAGGAGGAAAGAAAGGTGCCCAAACAAGCTTTTACCTGTGCAAGGATATTTCAAATTTCTATAGGTGCTGTGCACACTAACCTCCTGTAGGCTGGTGTAAGTCAAAATACTCCAGTATGGAAGTGGTGGAAAGAGGCAGGGAGAAGCAGATAGTTTTTACAGATAGCTTAACTTGCTCTGCTTCCTACTGTTCCACTGGACCACCTTTCAAATAGATTGCCTGCACCAAAATCACTGCTTTATGTTCTTTCTTGAGAAGAATTCAAGACACATTGGCTTCATAATGAAACCTGGCAGTTAGTTCTAGCTCAGACATATCATTCTCAGCCCAAGTAGAAAATGATTTCACCATCGCCTACCATAAAATCCATAGAGCTTAGCAAGGATTTTCCTAATTGTACTCCTTCATCCTCATCTCCATGTTTCCTATGTTTGAACTTTATATTCCAGCTTCTCACAATCATTAAGTCAAAACCATGCACTTCTTTCTCCATATCTTTTGCTCTGCTTGGAACAATTTCCTCCAACTTTCCTCTGCTTTCCACAGTATCTCCTCCTGTCCACAATATTTCCTCTGTTCTTTCTGAGGATCCTTAGAAATTTCTTCTCCCTTGCTAACTTCCCCGCATATGTATTTTATAATCAGTTCCATATAATGTTATAATTCCTTATTTCTCTATAGATAAGTTAAGCTTGGGAACAAAAGAATCATGTGTGTTTGTGTTCAGGTATGTGTGTGTCCTGTAAACAGAAAAGGTACATAGTTGGTTCTTATTAAAGATTTGCTGTATGAGTAATTATAGAGTAATACTGCTAAACTCTTTCTCATACACACAAACATAAGCACACACATACACACACACACACACACAATTTCTGGCCTGTAACACATTAAAATTTCGCTCCTTGCTCCTGTAACAATATAATGCATGTGTTCCTTATCCATCACTGGATTTCCACAAAATTATTCAGGAGCCAGATCAGCTTCCAGCTGGACTCTGCCCGCCTTCCATCCAGGTATAAATGAAAACTGGCACATGAAAACCCTATATTTCTTACCTCCCTTGACTCTGAAGCACATAGATATTTCTCTGGTAGAAATGTGTCATAAG